CACGACAGTACGGTGCTAGCTTCTTTAGCTATTAATCATTTTTCTAGGTTTTCCGGACTTTCTCGCGGTAATTACGATATTTTATGATTTATACGGTGCTCTTTTACGGTCATTTATGCATATTTGCATATCTGCATGTGTCTTCGTTTCTACTCCCTTACTCACGTGAAAGCACAAGCTATCTTTTAAGATTTCATTGATTAAAAAAAATCTGAACAGATATTTTTTTCTCTAGAAGAGGTTATTCGGCTTCATATAGTTGCCAAAATGATGAACATCACACTGCGAACTTGGGTGCATTTTCGAGTTAGACTATTCAAAAGGGTGGCGCAGTTATCTGCCGCCTATCTTTTTTGCTTTCCTCAGTTTTTTTCATTGGATCGTAGTGCTGACCTCTAATTAGGTATAAATTTTGTCCGAAAACTTTGAACAGGCGATGTATGCTCCGCCGCAAGTCTTTTGTTCACCAACCTTTTTTCTTCATCCAGTTTGCTGTCAACTTGCTGTCTTTCGTGTCCGCGAACCTTGTGGGCTACCACCTTGCCCGACTAAAAGAGCTGGCCCAGTGGCGATGTCTCTTTGTTGTCCTCTCCAGTTCTGCTCGCAGCCGTCATCTCCAATTAGCTCAGAGCAAGTTGGTGAGCTGACTAATTTTCGTACTTTTTCCTGCTTACGATTGTCTGTGTAGGCAAGAACGTAGCAATTTTACTGACTGACTGACGCTTTCAACAGTCGAGTATACAGCGTGCTTTCACAGGCGTACTACACGAAAGGTCTAACAGAATTGTACATTTCTGTTGGAGTTTGTGGTCGTCTTTGTCATTTTTTCGTTGCCATGTCTTTGTATCGCTATCTGCTCAGTGCGATAGCGGTGGTGACCTCCCCGTTTGACCAGTCAGCGATGAATGTTCGAGTCTATGTTCTAGCCGTTTGACGTGACGGCGCATTTGGTTTTATCGACGGCTGAACTAGTTGTTGGACTGTCTCTGATTGAACTCGGAGCGGCTGCTGTTGTTTCTAAGTTCGCCTCATCCACCCTGAACACCCCTCTGTAGAGGCTGCGGCTTAAGGCCTCTAATCGAGATGGGTGGTCGAGGCGCCGACTCCCTTGTGGGCAGCACAAGCTTTCACAATGGACGCTTGGCTCGAATACCCCAAATGTCGGCCAACCACTAAACGTTTTGGAGCATCTCCTTTTCACTTTTTAAACCATTGTCCCGTAGTTCGAATATTAGTGCTGCCCCGTTTTCCTCCGCTCAACCCACCCTGTCTTTTACTCCACTTTGCGCAGAGCATTGTCTCGCGTTCCCTGGTGCCAGCGCCCCTGGCTGCAGATTTGGAACAGGACTTTACCAGCGGTGTCTGCTCCTGGACCTCGCCCTTGGTCATCTATCTCCGCAACGTCAGGTGGGCAGGTTTCTACCATTCAACTTGCAGCTCCCATACTGTTTGGTTTGGATTCCATTTGGGCGGCTGGTCTGCTTACCGCTGGTGGAGTTAAGTAGGGGGGAGGGTAGGGGCTGGACCGACGTAACTCATACCTTAAAGGCATGCTTTAATTCCCTAGATTTGATCTCGGCCTGATTTTTGCAGGCAGCAGGGCACATGTGTCGGCTTTTGATCCATGGAAAGAATCATGATAGGGCTACCGGCCGACACTGCTTTTGATCCACGAACAGCTGTTTTGCCTCGTCCTCCGTTCGCCCTGCCTGCATTAGGGGACAAGTATGGATTTGCGTCGCCCGCCCTAGCAATGCCTCATAAGTCTTACCATTTTCTTCTACGTCGACTTCACGTGAGGGGATTAAGTTAAATGTATTTGTTTCATGTCCATTTGACGAGTAGGCAGCACTAGTACAACTTTCCGACACCGTCTTTTCAGTTACCGTCCGCCGCCGTCTTTTTCTTTCACTCATTCAAACACCAGGTTGCCCGTAAGCGATCGGCAAATGCACTTCCAACATATATACGGTTAATGACCACTGTCGTGAAATAGTAACCGAAATTCGCAAATGCATGTTTGAGTAAGAAGGATTACTTAAGTGTGGTTGTATTACTGATTTCCATGCAGCATGATATCAAGATTTCTCAGGCACATTGCATTGGCTTTTGAATGCTTTTCTTTTCGATTACTTTTAAAAACCCCACTTGGAAAAAATGGCTACTTAAATGGCATACGTCTTCTGTGGATTTTCGAGGCCCTTGTAAATCCAAGTGCGTTTTATGGAAAACATGCACAAGCACACCCTTCTTGCAGCCATTTGACAAAAAATGGCCTTAAGTATTTTTATTCAAAGAAAAATTGTTTGTATATTTTAAGAGAATTGTCAATTCCCGAATAATTTTAATCTCGATCTGCCGTTGCATTCCTGCTTGGGATCTTTCATTTTACAGGCTGTACGTTTTCAGTGTATGGAAAATCATGCTTTCCTCTATGGCATTAAGGAGATACCATTTAAAACACATAAAATTTTGCGACGGATACGAACTATGTTGTTTTCCTCGTTTCTAAGTCCAACACAACCAATTGGGCCACGATCTTGTCGTCCTGTCGGTTGTGCTCGTACATATGTTGGGAGTGCGTCTACCAGTCAGGTTACGCGATATGCCCCCCCCCCCTTGGTTTTTGGCACGATCTAGAGTCTTCGCAAGCAGTCTTACAACCACAAGTGCGGGTTTCAGACTTGGTT